TTTTTTTTTTTTTTTTTTTTTTTTTTTTGCTTTAGTGTGATAATGGTGTTAGAACTTGGGTCTTGCTTACGCAATTCTTTGACATATGTGTGGATGTTGAGAAAGTGTATGGAAAACGGGAATTTAAGGATTCCACGGTTTTATCTTTTTGAGCTTCGACCATATCAAGTTGCATTTATTCTCGTGGTCTTGGAAAATGAACTTAGGAAAAGTGGCTAATATTATTATACAATTTAGAGAAGTGGCTAAAATTAGCTACACCCTCTAACAGAAACTAATGTGTGGAGCTGTTGGCTGAAACAAATGTTAAACATCTTGTCTTAGTTGATTCTCTTATGTTTATTGTTATTGTCACCAAATGTTTTGTTTGTCTTAGTTGGTTCATTGACCTTCCTATTCGTTGATGGTTTAAATGACTGGAGGGATATAGGCATCACTTTCAGTTTTGGGAGGACCAGGGACTTGGAACTTGGCCTTCACATGAAATTCTTAACCTTTATGACCTCTCTGTTGTAAAGAAATCCCCTGTATTTGATGTCATTATAAGTTTTGTGGGATCTCATATTACAAAAATCTTTAAATGAAGATTATGTTAGATGAGACTTAAACAAGTAGAAGATTCTTTTGGATGGAATCTTAGAAATTCAGGGCATTTAGTGTCGCAATGAAGTCTCCATAACCAAATGGGCATCCTAAACCAACATACGAGTAGGTGGATTTGGGAAGGTAAGAACCTCAACAATTTCTTCCCTTTGAACCTTGGTTAACCTCAACAATTTCTTCCCTTTGAACCTTGGTTATGGAAGCATTCTAGAGGAAAGGGGTAATAAAAACAAGAGCTACTTTCATCTTTTACCCACGAGCTAAGGATTTGAAATAAAACTTCCTGATCCTTGAAATATTCCATCCAAAGTTAATTTTTAAAGAAGCACTAAATGAAGTATTTCTAAATTTGATTGATTTAATTATTCCCTCATTGCGAGCAAGAAGGGAAGCTTGCAATGCTTTCTCTCCTAGTTTGAAAACTAGAAACACCATTTCTCGTTCGACATGTGTTCAGGTGTGCCACTAGCTTCCATCTTGAGCCACTCAAACACATTAGTTTGAGTTACTTTCTCTACCCATTGTTATTTTGTCATGGATTTTCCAAATCATTCTTGGGGGGGGGGGGGGGGGAG